AAAAAAATAAAATAAAATTATATAAGGTAATTAAATTTTTTTTTGACAAAGAATTGATTAATAAGTTAATTTTATTAATTGTTAATAATTAAATATTTGATTCCCAAATCTGATGAATATCCCACTTTCTTAAAAAAGGTCCCATTGAAACATTTGGTGGAGTTTCATAAGGTAATTTAAATTATATTATATATCATTAAATAAAGTAAGTTTTACTACACAAACTATTGAAACTCAATTAAAAATATAGAATCTTACCATTCAACTTACTTTTACGAAAAAAAAAGTTTAAAATGTACAAAACCTACGTAAGACGGACCTTTAAGATTGCCGAGGAGATATTAAAATGCATCTTTAAAAGGGTCTAAAGAGGCATAAATTGATCAAAAAGATACCTTCCCACATGGAAAAAAGCAACAAGATTTGACAGTGTGAAACAGTAGAACTCTCACATGAACGGGTGTTAATTATTGCCACTAATATAATTGTCAACGCTATTAAATTTATATTTAATTTAATTAATATTTATAATTTTTAATAAATAATTGTAATATTTAAAAATCTAAATTTATAATTTATTTTAATTTATTTTATAATAAATATTAATTTATAATTAATTATTAATTATTTTTAATAATTACATTAAATATAATTACAATTTTTTAACAAAATTTAATAACCATGACAATTCTGCGAGTCATGATAACACATCCCACATCCACTTCGTCATGAGTCATGACTTGTAGAAAAGGAAAGCCGACAGTGACACTAAGATCACGGGAGTATAGAATTTACCAACCGATTTGATCAATCATGTCATGCCAGTTGCTCACAACTAACCTTTATTCACACTGCAAATAGTAGTTGTAGGAAGAAACATCAAAACTCAAAAGCAAAAATCCACTCCATATATTCTATATGCATTCCTTTAAGAAAGCAGGTTCTAGCTTTGCCGAATCCTGTGTGGCCATGGCCACAAAGTGCATGCCATGGCCATAACTTTTTAATATTATCATTAAAATATTAAATTAAATAAGGCTAAATCTTAAATTTGGTCCCTTAACTTTATAGAGTTGCACTTTTTTTTGTCTCTTAACAATTTTTTACACTTTTTTTATCCCTTAACTTTAAAAAATACATAACGTTAGTCCTTCTGTTAATTTGGGCCTTTAACTCCACCCATGTGACATTTTTTATATTTTTTTTATGACATGGAGAGCACAACTTTAAAAAGTGATGATATAGACAAAACATTTTATCATGTCATTTTCCCGCAACTCAAGAGCACCAAATCCAATCAAATGGACTCCACATTGCCTGCAAAGCACCAATAAAGGGGTAAAATGCCTATGAACCCTAAATTTCTCTTTCATCTCCACTCTTGCAAGATCGAATCATAACCCATTTCTTTTTTTTCTCTAAATGCTCTCTGATCTCCACTCCATCTGCAAAATCGATCTTAACCCATTTCTTCTTCTTCTCTAAATGCTCTCTCATCTCCACTACATCTGTAAAATTGATCTTAATCCATTTCCTCTTCTTCTCTTTTCTCAAGGGAACTTGAGAAATTGACCAAATGCAGGGAATTTGTAATGAGATTTGCTCAAGTTAGATTGCCTCTACTGCTAGTGGGGGTGAATCCTTACAAAATAATATGTCTATGAACCCTAGAATGCTCCAGAGGAGAATTTGAGTTCTTTGTTATCAAACCTAGCTACTTGGCTCATCATAACCAACAAATCTCATCAAATCAAATTAACCCTTCAATAAACAATATCAATCAAACTCTAATCAAATTTCAACAAAAATGCAATCAAACTCTAATCAAATTCCAACAAAAAAGCAATCAAATTGTAAATCAACTCCCAAATTTATCAAGAACTGGGAATGGAAATCAAAAGAAGAATGAAAAAACATGAACCCAATGTCGAAACCCAACTAGGCTGGGTTTTGATGAACCCAGCAAGGTTGGGTTCGCGCGACTAGCGAGGTTGGGTTTCAACGGAACCTAGCCGATCTGGGTTCCATCGAACCCAACAGATTTTGGTTCGGTACTTCCACCGATCTAGGGTAGGAAAGAAAGAAAGAGAAAGAAAGAAAGAAGGGGAAGAAGAAGGATTGGGAGGGTGAGGGTAATAACGTAATTTTATTTGTTTTTTATTAAAATATAAATATTTATCTACATGATATTTTTATTTTTATATATAACATAATTATAATATATATTATTGCCATGTCATAAAAAAATTAAAAGAAAATGCCACATGAAATTATTTAACTACCACATCATGTTTAACTGACAAAGGGATCAGAACTGTGCAATTTTTAGAGTCAATGGATAAAAAAAGTGTAAAAAATAATTGAAGAACCAAAAAAGTGCAAACCTATAAAGTTGAGGGACCAAATTAGCATTTAACCATTAAATAATAAAAATTAACACTTTTTTTATTTTTTTAACCCATTATATAACCTCTATTTTTTAAAAAGAACCTTACCAATAAATTATTTATATTGTTGACAAAAAAATATATTGATTTTATGTGATTTGATTATTAAAAGTAATTACTAGTTATAGTGGTTAATTGATAATAAATTAATTAATTATATCATATTTATTAATTAACATATTAAAATTAATTTATAAAATTAATATTTCTAAATATTATAACTAACGATCTACAAAAATTAAATTTATGACCCTAATAATTTTACTTATGAGGGTAATTGCACCAGTAATCTTGTCATTAAATTTGATAAAACAGCATAATATAAGTTCGTGTGGGATTGTTTGTTGGCATAAGCTGCAAATAAAACCCTATACCGGCAATATGGTGGCATTTAAGCCACCGAACTCAGTTTAGAGGCAAAACACCTCCTATACTGAGTAATTAGTGGCAAATCGGCCCCTAGAGTACCTAGAGCGTTTAGTAGGCGTTAGATAAAATCCAAAATTTACAGGATAAGTCCTCAAATAAACAATAGGACAATAGTTAAACCCCAAAAGAATCTTAATGGGAGACATTGCCACATATACCAAAACAATATTAACTATTTGTCATTAAGTTGAACAAGTGGCTCAATTTGAAAAAAGAATTCTAGTGGAAATAAAAGAAAATCATTTAATTGAGTTAAGACAAAAGAACGGAAGGATAAACTCAATAGTAGTACTATATAATAGACAGATAAGATTCATAGAACAAAAAATTAATAAATTAAGAGAATAGTTGATTTACTGAAATTAATATGAATAATAAATGAATAAACTAGATTAACATATATTTACTCAATCCAGCGGGCAAAAACATAATCCACAATGAAAATATAATTATCATTGATAAGATTCTAGAGATAGAAACCATTAATGAAAATACTTTAAGAAGAACTAAATAAATGGGAAAATTTCTTTCACAAGAATTTGAGCCTATCAAAGATAAGATAAATGGAATTAAAAATTCTAAAGATTTGAAAGAAATAAAAGAAGAAATAAGGTTTATCAAAGACTCGAAAACTATAATCTCTCCAGTTAGAAATATAAAAATCAAAATAGAAAAAATTCTTAAGATATTAAAAGCAGTTGTTGAAAAATTTATCATATAAACTTAAGGATATATAATAGAATAATCTCACAATTGGAAAGTAATATAGATAAATTTTTTTATAAAATTCAAACTTAACTTAAGGATCTACAAGATATTATAATATCAATTTGTAATAAATGAAATATTATAGAAAGAAATGAAAGATTTAAAATAATCCCAAATATTTTCATAAAAAAAAAACCTAAATAAAAGGGAATAACATTTTTATGTTAAAAGCTTAAAAAGAAAAATTAAAAGAATTGGAACAAAGATTCTTAGAAGAGGAATATATAGAAGAGTTAGACAATTTGTACAAATAAATTACGATAACTACTAAACAACTAGAAAATATAAAAGTGAATCCTCATAGAGAGGGAAAGGAAGAAATTGAAGAAGAAAGTAAGAAATTAAAGAAAAAAGTGAAGAAGAGAAAGGTGAGAGACAACCTAACTTCAACAAAATTCTCAATACAAGGGGTAAGCTCTTACATTACTAAAGAGAAAGAAGAGTGTCAGTAAGATTCTATGTAATCTGTTTTAACAAAAGTAAGAAATAAGTTTGGATAGAATCTGTTTTAACAAAAGTAAGAAATAAGTTTGGATTACTAGACAATAATTTAAACTTTAGACATCAGCAATGACAAAAGAAAAAATTCCAATCAGAGCTATAAAAAGCCTCTTATAAGTTATAATAGGTATCTAGCATTTGAACATCCAAATACCTTACTTGAAAACCTTCTACCATGCATTTGTAGACACCCTTCAAGGGGAAGGGGAACTTTCCCTTTCTCTTCTTAGAAATAAAAACATATTTAAAAACAATTCTTGTGTTTCTATCCTTCCTTATTTCCACCATAAAATACAATGAGAAGAATTCCTGAAGAAACTTAGGCAACAATGAAGCCGCTTGTCTTGTATGGATACCCATTGTAGCCTGAGTGTGGCATTGAGGGTTAGACAAAAGAAGCATTAGCTTGATCGAAGGCTAGTCTAAAGGGTTTTCAAGTAAAATTCTAATTTATTTAATCATACAGAAGTAAGGTGAGCATAAAAATAATTTTATTATTCTTTGATATTACATTATTTTTTGAGATTAGAAATGATAGGGGAATAGTACCTGACCTCTTATATTTTGAATAGAAAAGTCCATTTTTATATCAACTCATTGTATTTTAAGATGTTTGATTTCATTCAAGAAATTGTTGTAGATAAGAAAGCTTATGAATAGCAATGAGAATATTATAGAAATAAAATATTAAATATTTTAGAAAAATAAGTAATATTAAAGAGGATTATCATCTATTTTAAAATATTAAAAAATTAAAACGAATAGCAACATATTTAAATGAAGATCTAAAAATATAAAAAAAATTAAACAAAAATTATCTTTGTTTGTAGCTTAATAGATCTAATTCCATGCTTATTGAGTTTAACATACCAGTTACTCATTAGTCAATAATAGTCTAAATTAGGTTCCAAAAACCCCTTAGCAATCTAGTATCATAGCCATAAAACAATGTTGTTAAGCATAAAAGTTGTTTTCGCAACAAATATGAATTTAAGGACTAAAAGATCCAAAAAATATTAAGTTCAAGGACTAGAATGTTGAGTCAACCGGAAGCAAAAAAGTTAAATTTAACTCATGGTTGTCAGAAGGGTTTATTTAACACCTTTGAAAAGTATAAGGTGAGGGATGTGTTTTCCTTAAGTTGAGGGGCTTATTTAACACTACTCGACAAGTTTGAGGGTATTTTCATGATTCGCCTTGTTTGTTTGGTGGCCCATAGCAGATGGCTCAAACTCATACTCCAAATTACGAATCTCTAGAAGCTTTCAATCAAACTCACGAGAGCATATTATCTTTTTACTTTGTTACTATAAACTTATAACCTCATTTTGTAAACCTATAATCTTATTATTTACCTTTCTAGAGAAAAAAAAAAAAGAAAATATTTTTTTCTACATTTTGCTTCTTAGTGTTTAACAAATGAATGTAAATGAATCCCCTCAATGTGAGATTATTTTCCCTTTATCAATTCTCATATTATCATTTGATTTAGAAAAAAAATCTCAATTTATAGTGTAGTATATTTTTAATATAAAATTAAAAACTTATTTTATTTACAAAGAAGTATTTTTCATGTTGACCTAAAAAAAAAAAAAAAAAAAGAATGTGTGTAAAATTATTTATATAAAGAATAGTGATTAATATCTATTTTGATTTAATATACTACATAATACACTTATTAAAAATTATTTATTCTTGATTTAAAATTAAAGATAAGTAAATTTAAAGATAAAATTATACATTTAACATATAAAAATCAGCTAAATTGAGTGGATATTGAAAGGTGTGTTGAATTGAAAGATTTATCAATAATTTTTCTTATATAAATCACACATGCATTTTGATTTATAAGTGATATTTACTTTTTGAATTTTTCTAACTTGTGTTTTAAATGTGCATTTATTATACTTTTTCATTATTAATACACATAATAAAAATAAAAACTAACACTAATTTTATCAATTGTCAAATACAAAATATCAAAGTGGCATTAGTGTTAAAATTAATTTTAACTTTTATATTTTTATACGTAAATTAATGTATAAAAGATATATTTAAAACCCTCTTAAACTGTACCTTAAGGCACATGTTAAATAAATTTTTACTTCTTTTCATATATATATATATATATATATATACATACATACAGAAAACTGTTTACAGGATGAATTATATGTAGTTCATTTTGTAAAATTATTTAAATGTCCTTAATAAAATAATATAAAAACAAAATTAAAGATATTTAAGTAATTTTATAAGATAGATTACATATAATCTGCTTTATAAGATAGTTTTCTCAAAAATAAATATATATGAGTATAATGCATATCACTTTTGACTTAAAAAAAAAAAAGAATTTCAATCTATATTTGGAAATCAAAATCACAATTTAAAATTCAAAAATCTACCATATTAAATGTCAATATCTAAATTTGGAAATCGATTATACATTCTAATATAATTAGTTTCCAAATTTAAATATCAGCAATTAATAAGGAGGATTTTTAAATTTTAAATTAAATTTTAACTAAATAAAATGACGTTATTTAAAATTAAAACTCTAATTTATTTTAGAAATCGACATTAATATGTATTTTTCCATATATATGTCTAACATATGTCACTTTGTTTTTTCTATAGCTTTTTATTTATAGTTTTTTCTAACCTATGTCTAACATATGTTTTTAATGTGCATTTATTGTATTTTTCACATTTAATCTCTTTAAAATGTTACAAAGGTTCACTTTGTTTTTATCATAAATAATGTCATATAAATGCTTTTAATTAGATGATGAATAAAATTAAAGTTGATTTTTAATTTTTTTAATATAAATTAATTATAAAAATATGCACTTAATATTTTTTTAATTTGTACACATGAAAATTGAAAGTTAACATTTTTTATACAATTTTTTTTATATAACTTTAAATATTATTAAATGATTGACTATTTTCACGCTATTATAACTCGTAATATTATATCTATCTATTTATTTAATAACATATATAAGTTGTATAAAAAATTATACACAAGATTGTTTATAGTTCCCTTAGTCTTTTGGAAATTTTTTAAATTAGTTCCCAAATTTTGTATTTTAAGAATTTTATCCTTAAATTTTATTTTATTCACCTGATTATTATTAATAAATTTGAAAATAATTATCATTGCTCCTTTTCATAAAATCTTGCCATTAAATTTAAAATTAAATATTGGCATAACAATTAGTAATTCTTTAAGGCTAATATATTAACTATAAAAAAAGACCTTTTAATCTTCTAATATTTTTTTTAAAAAAATTAATAAGAAAATATTTAAATTTTTAACATTTCTCTACCTTTTTGAAAAAATCTTAGATCATCACTTTGTTAGTACTTAAAATTAATCTAAAATATTCATTTTAATTACTAATATATATTGTTTTTTCTAAATCAAATATTAAAATTTTACTTCTAACTTAAATTTTTTTATTAAGTCTAATCTCTTTTTATTATTATTATTATTATTAACATTCGCTATATAAATTTTGATGTGTTTCTAAATTATGACACTTTTTAGATTTGTTTTATTAAATATTTTTTTCCTACAAATACAACAAGATAATTATTTTTTAATCACCAAAAATTTCAAAATACATTTCACATTCAACATGGCCAACTTTAATTTTAAACACAAGTTTACAGGTTTACAATTATGTATTACTCTCTTTGATTCTCTTTTAGTTACTCAATTTTATCGATTTTATGTTAATTAATTTAATGATTTTACATAAATAAATTAATGACAATTAAAAGTTTTTATTTAAGTGAAAATATTCAATAGATACTATGTTTGGAGAAAATTTTTTTTTAATTATCATCTATTTATTAAATAAAATTATTAGACTAAATTTTATGTAAAAATCAAATTAATACAATTAAAATAGATTAAAAAAATAATACTTTAAACACAAACCACCACTAATTGTATCGTATATCATTACTTGCTTAAGTACACAATTAATGTATTTTTTAACTTTAAATTGTATGAATTTTTTTTTTTGAAAAGAGTTAATCTTAGTTTATTTAGTAATCACCAATATTATATATATTATTTTAATTAGATAATTGAGCAAATAAATATAAACTTCTTTTTTATTTTTTTGGGCAAATTAATATAATAAATATAAGACTTAGATCCACAAATAAGTAAATATTGTTTTATTTTACAAGACAGGTTAAAGATTTAAATAATAAGATCAATATAAAAAATTATTTTTTAAAATATATCATATAAAAATATCACCAAAAGCAATTGTCTTAATTGACTAAGAACATAAAATTCTAAATTAAAAATTGTAATTTTAAATCTTAAATTATACAAAAAAAAATTGAAAAAAAAAAATAACTATTACCTCTTGTGTAGCAAATGATGCGTTGTAAAAAATCAGTTTATTCTTTGAAAAATCACTTTGAATATTTTTTATTTCGAAATCAGTTTATTCTTTGAATTATTTTCTTTTAAAAAAATATAATTTACTGTTTAAAATATGCAAACTACAAAATACAGCATGCTACTTTTATTTAGCCGTGGTAGTTGTAAAGGGATAATTTTTTTATTTTATTTTTTTATATAATTTTTATGTGTTATTAAATAAATATATATTTAATATTATAAATTTTATATAAATTAAAAAAATTAATTATTTTAATTACTCATCAAATTTAAAAAAATATAAAACAAAAAGATGGTGAAAAAAATATTTCCCTTATTTTAATTGGTTTTCTCATACAACACACCATTGATCCTCCTATTACAGTCCAACTGCAATTGAGGCTGTGCAAACAAAGCACCCAGTTCCCTCACCATTCAATCATGCAAACTTTGTTGCTGCCGGCAACTTGCTCTGGTATTTCGAGGGTGGTGGCGACCCCAATTCCTCACCTTCGTCGGCCATCGCTGACACTCTGCTCTCCAAATTTTCTCACTTTGCGCAAAGCCCAGAAACCAGAACCCCTCCTCTCCGCTTCTGCTCCTTTTGATCCTCTTAGTAGCAGAGTTTCGAAACCCTCTTTCACCAGAATCTCTTCCTCCCAGGTTTCACCCTCTTTCACCTCCTCTAACGATGATACGGAGAAGGCAAAGCTCGCTCTGGTTCGCTCCCGCTCTCTCTTCACTTCCTTTACGCAAATTTTATTTCTTTTTCACTAATGACTAACTGGGTCTCAATCAACTTTGTCAAATGACATTTGATTCTATCCTTTGGTTTACTTTTGTTAATTTCGCTGTTTATAATTTTCTGGGTACTCAATGTATTTTGTTGAAATTGTTGGGTTAAATTTGGATTGTGCATTAGGGTTTTGTTTAGAGAATTTCAACGGTTCTTTAGTATAATGTGGAAACTTGATGGTGTAGGTTTCGAAAAGGTTGGAGAACACGTCGAGGTATTTTAGGCGATTGGGCAGTTTAGGGTTTTGGGGACAGCTAGTTTGTACTGTGGTGGCAGCTGTTATTCTTTCATTTTCCATCGTTATTACTGGGAAAATTTCATCGCCTGCTACTTTTTATGCCACTGCTGGTGGGATAGCCGCAGCATTTGTCTCAGTGTTTTGGTCATTTGGGCATATTCGGCTTGCCGAGAAGCTCAAAAAGACTGCCAGTGAGCCTTCCAAGGTATTGTATATTGAGATTAATTTTGCAGTTCTAAACTTGTAATAGTCTTAGGCTTTAGTAATGGTAGTATTTAAGGTGTATCCTTAAAGGTTTTGTTTGCTTCATATTGAAGAAAATGACTGGATTCCTCACATTTCGAGGGTTACTTCTTTATTCAGTCAGAGTTTCTAGAAGTTAAGATGGATTTATGTACAATTGAAATTTATGATTCTTGAGTTACAATACAACAGTTTCTCATTGTTTTTGAAAAATGGGTTGTTCAAAGATTTTTATGCCCAAAAAATGAAGACAATGGACAGAGCTGCTTCTACCTCTAAGAGAGCATTCCAATTTTGGGTTATTAAATTAACTGGAAAAGTAACTACTTGAAAATTGATGGTCCATTGTCATGACTCATTTATAATTCCCCTTGTAAACAAGAGACAAATGGGAAGTGTATGATGCTGTTTCAACATAATTTCTGACAATTTTAATCCTTAAGGATCATACTGATGTTAAGAGAACTTTCTTTTTGAAAAGTTCTTAAGTAGGAGAAGCAGTTAAGTTATATAAGCTGAGCTAACGTCATGCTTGTTGGTACTATCTTTGCATTTTCTCCCTTTCCTTTTTTTGCCATAATCAGTTTCACATACCATGTAAGTGAAAGATTAGTTTGCATATTTATGTAAATGACTGCTTTCAGTTCTGAAATAATTTTATGGTTTAGGTGGCTGGTCATATCTGTGTTTATTTTGAGTTTTGATAAATGCATGTTGCCTAATTGGATTTTCCGATGACTTCTATTTGTTGTTTGAGTTGTCAGGCTCCTCCCCGTGCTGATGTTGTGAAAGGCTTGAGAAATGGTATAATAGTGAATCTTCTTGGAATGGGCGCTGCTATTCTTGGAATGCAAGCTACAGTGGGACTGTTGGTTGCGAAGGCTCTCACATCCTCAGCAAATCCTTATTACCAGGGAATTTCTCCTGGCTACAGCCCCGTACTGGCATTGGATGTATTCTTGGTGCAGGTAATTTGATAGTCGGACTAACCTTCGGTTCCCATAACTCTGTTTTTCTTTCTTAATTAATCCAAGTTCTCAAACATGAACCTCTCTGAAATTCTGTTGCCTAACTTTTTTAGAAAAATATTTACTCTCTAGTCAAATATAGTCTTTATAACTGAACTTACTCCAACCTGCCATATCGGTAGTCATGTGTCTGCCATTTGGATTATTCTATGAAAACTAAAAGAATTAACTAGGTCTTCTAAGATTGTTCCAGATGTAGAAATAAAAGGAAACTGAGGAAGATAGTTTTAAGTATGTGGTTCTCCGTAGATAGACATCCATTCAGATATATGTGGTTTTTTGTACACATAGTCACATACATGTGTAAATATAAATCTGAAGGTAGCTTTTGTCTATACAAATCCTTAAGTAAGCATCAAAATTTTTGGTCAATAGTTCTCTGAATTATATTTTTGATCTGGCACTGAGTTACATGACCTGTTGAAACAGAAGAAGAATTTATATGCAAGTTGATCATGCCATAGGGTACTTTTCTGTTAACACTTTTCTGTTAACCCAAATAGTTCGAATCTACTTAAAATCTCAAGTTTACTTTAAGAGATCAATCCACTATCATTGAATTGATAAAAGGATATTACAGCAAATGGGATGGTCAATGGTCCAAGCCAACCTTAGCGGGGGCATGTTCTTAAATGCTTATCTTGACCTCAACTTACCTTTTTATTTGCATATGCAGGCATCGGCTAACACCATCCTTTCTCATTTCTTGGGGCTTGTTTTCTCACTGGAGCTGTTGCGGTCAGTTACTTTACCTCCTTCAGAAAGTGTTCCAGTTCCAAGAGTTGCTTAAATTCTGATTCCCTTGGTAAATGTTGAGAATTTGAAGCCTCTTGATGAACTTGATTTTGTAGCCTTGTTTGTTAAAATGTGGGGTTCTCATTATTGGATTTGAGATCTATATTCACTGCTGCATTGAGCATGTGTGCTTCTGATTTTATTGCTGCATTAAATTATGTGATTAATAAATGACTTAAAACTGTGGAACTGCAAATATAATTGTCCATCCTCTGTGATCTGGTTCAGGGCCTTTCATTAGGTTTAGAAATGTCAAATAAACAGTCCTTTCCACTTCACATTCACTAAGAAAATATGCAAATAAAAATGTTAACTTTATATTTTTTTTCATTTAAAGATGTTAATTTTGTTTATTTCTAAATAAGAATGTCAATTTTTAACATTTTTTACTTAAGGATATCAATTTTTGATTTAGTTTATTTAGGAATAATAACTTTTAATTTTTCTTAATTTTAAAGATTAATTAAATGGTGATACTAATGTAGTAAATAAATTTTTTAAGTGAAATGTTGAAAGTTAATATTTTTATTTAGAAACTAGTAAAATTAATATTTTTAAATAAAAAAATTTACAAAATTGATATTTTTAAATAAAAATAAATACAAAATTGATATTTTTATTTACATTTTTTCTCTATGTTTAGTTAGTGACACAACCTTTTTTAGGATAAATTACCCTTGACCCCAATGTAATTTGAGGTGAGAGGGTGAGTGTACTTATCTCCCCTCAAATCACAAAGAGGTCCCTTTCATTTTCTCTTGTATCTAAATGCAGTTTTAGCTTTTTGCCTTCACTCTTTAGTTGTTTAGGGTGTTAAATGCACATTTCTCAAACTACAGATGGATTAAGAGCACTTACTGCCAACTACAGGGCATAAAAGTGTATTTTCCCCTTATTTTTAAGAGGCTGACAAACAAATCTATGAAGGTAGAATCATTCCGTACGTTGTAGTTATGACGGCACTTGATAAATTGTCAAAATTTTATCTTAATTTATAAATAAATATTCTTAAATATTATAATAAAATTTCAAAATAAAAATTATAAATTAATAAAATAACAGTAAAATGTGTAGTCCTAGCAAAATTTCCATGTGGCCATAACAATGGCCCATTGCACAGCTTGCCAAACATTGGAGCTCATCTTTGTTAAGTGGAAAAGAACATTTTTAAAGCACAAACCATGTTTATAATCTACAGTACCAAAACTTAATCAAGAAGATGGGTTTTGCAGGGGAGGAAGAGGAAAACAAAATAATTTCAGACTTTTCACAAGCATAGAAGCAATAGGGTCAATCCTTCTCATATAGATTACGACTGCATTAAGCGGAATAGAATATGCAAATTGATGGCAGCACCCCAGCAAAAAGAACCTCAAAACTCCACACCTCGAAATCCAATTTCCATGCCCATATGGCTTAACCCATTAACCTAAATATAATGCCCTGCATAAGGGAATAAACAAATAGTTCAGGATACTGATGGCCGAAAAAGAAAAAAAATTAAGTTTTTGCACAGAGAGAGTCAGGGAAGTAAATACCAAATACAACATTTGGCAATAACAAGCTCACTTTCTATGTTAAAAATAACAGAGAGGGCAACCTAGATATTTATGTCCGAATGGTAACAGATTATGCAATGGATATCTTTATGTTCATAGTCACAAACCTAAACGCTAGGTCATTATTTTATGTTCAATGCATAGAAATGATCTCAACAAATTGGTTCAACCATGCATTCAATTGTAAAATAGAATCATAACGTGAATAACTTAGATCAATCTTCTGCCACTTGTACCTCTTTCTTTTGTGTATGAAACTGGTCAACAACAAAATAAGAGAACATTAAAATAACAAATGCAATGAGACAATTCGCATCTGATCATCTATAACTTTAAAAAAATCATACCAGGTGCCAATTGACTCATCCAGATATGAGAATATTATCTCAAAGTAACCCCAAAACAAGGTGACAAATGTTCTTGTGTTCTTTCATTGGCAGGTTACTGACCAAAACTGCTTCCAAGTTAAAAGCTATTCAACATGCAATCCAACAACTAAGTCAGAGAACACTTGAAAATCATTTAGCATTAAGTAATAATAAACCCATTTGTATTTATCTAAATATTCTGTTTTAGGTCTTTAGCAGATCTAACTGAGCGCACATAAAAGAATGGGAAGCGGACCTTTAAGGTTGCAAATGTCATGTGGACCAAATTGTTGAATTGTAGCAAGCTGGAAATGGAAAAATTTTCACCCTTAGTCATTACGAAGGATTTAGAAGTCTAAATGGTTATAGTCTATCATTCTAAGTTCCTAGCAGATAAGACTAGAAAAAAAAAAAAAAAAAAAGGGAAATTCTTCAGCAAGCCCCTATGGTTTTCATCAGGAAAAAATGTTATGCCAAAATTTTAAAAGGCAAAATGTTATCCCTTTGGTAACCTCATTTCAGGTAAAGCAGATTGCAAAACCATCTTGCAGTTGTTGATTATTTCTCGCATACAAGGTTTTTAGAAAGTCTAAGACATCAGTCTCTTTATTGTTTATTAGAATCACTGCCACCATTATCGCTTTGAAAAGGAGAAAAAGCTTTCTTCAATAACTACTGTAAACAGGCAATTGATACTTAAGCAGAGACAGTTTCATCATGAAGCACCATGCCACCGTTTGTTTGTATTTATGCATGCCAGCAGGTGTGTACGTGCAATAGAATAGAATAAAAGCTATCATTAAAGCATAAAGTTCATAAATGGTAAAAAAATTTATAAAGTAATCTTTCTTTAGTACTTCATAGATAGGATCCTCTTATTCTTCAAATATATTACCTATGACTAGATTAGTGGAAAGCTACAGATTGCAGATAATGTAACATAACCTTTAATTTGGCAGAAGCTAATAACGCGTTACTTTGTTCTTGATGGTAAAACTAAAAATGACTTAATTCCATGTTAATATAGCATACACAAGCCTTCAAGTCAAACTAAAATCTTAAGTTTTACTCTCTTCAATAAAATTATTTTCTTTTCAAAGTGTTAATATGGTAACTTCATCTCCCACAAAAGTGTGATTACTATATGAAATATCAAAGGTTGTATTAAATTCTAAGACATATCATTCTATTATGAACTATTATATAACTCCATTTACTCTTGGTTATTAAATGTGAAGTTATTTTTACTAGAGCCATTTTAGTACATAGTAAACTGTTTAAATCAGTTTTACACAATATAATTACATACTTGCATGGTCCAAATTGATGCAATTTAGGAAACGAAAAAGAAACTACTTGCATTTTCCTACATGCATCTTAGCATTCAGGAAACAATGCTAAAAGTGAGTCAGGGTGAAAAGTAACTTGCCTACTGAATCTTCTTCTCTTTGTTTAAGGAAAGTGGAATCTTCTTAAGGACGTTTTCATCAATCTTCTTGTACTGTGTTTGGATGATTCTATGTGTTACACACAGTTTTGTGTCTATATGGTCTTGAAACTTTTCATATAACACTGGAACTGAGAGACTAAGAAGAACTCCTGCAGACAGTATCAAAAGTATATATGCAGATATGGAGAAAGTAAAAAGAAACATTACTGACATGAAACAGAATTTGGTCACAGCTTACCAATATAAACCAGAGTGAGCAAGTTGAAGAGAGTACCAATATAAGATACTAACCACAAGCCACAGGCAACCTGAAGTAGAATATATTTTTAGAATTTTTTCAAAGTAAACTACTTATTAAAATTTATTAAATAAAAACGTTATCTCAGTGAATATTGACAGAGATGGGCAACTAAAAACCTGAAGGAAAAGTTTCACGTTTCTATTAATTGCAATATCGCGTGCAATCAACAATGCACAATTGATCCACACATGCATCTCATCAGCAGCTAGAACAACAGTCTCGTCAGAAATTTCCAAATTAGGAAGGGGAGGCAGAGGTCTGCATCAAAAACCATAATCTCTTTCCATATTAAACCCGAGGCAAACAATGGTCCACTTATATTGCATCTTTCAGAAGGAAAACTTGATGCATTTGCAATTTTCTTTTTTCCCACTAAAAGACTGTCAAGTTACATGGTTATCAAATTACAAATACTTCACAATGCATCCATGTTCGGATGTTCCTACAATTATTCTCATCAAATTACGACCTTTCTAGGTTCCGCTTCTTGCAAATCATTTTCGAGGAAATGGGGTACACTAAAATGATCAAAATTCACAAAAATAATGATAAATTCAGTAGAAAAGAAAACAAATGGTTGAATTACCTGTTGAGAAGGGAAGCTGATTTGGCCCAGAAGAAAAGGGCGACAATAAAGAGCAACAAAACATTAGCCAGAAGAGACAAGAAATTATAACCCGCTCTTTCGAAGAGGAACCACATGGTAGATGCAGACACCAGCAACATAACCCCTCCAAACCATTTTCTCCACAAAAGCAAGTCAGCAACTACAAACACAGAAATAACCCCCACCAAAAAAAGAAGGACAAACAATAAAAACAAATCAGAACCCAGATAATCAAATCAACACAAAAGTTTCCCCAGATAATTTAATCAACAGATGGAGGCCGCATAACTGAATTTTGCAATATTTCTATTGAAAATAACAAGAATCGAAAGGGAAAGAATTTAATTTCTTAAACACTGATCGTATCATCATCAGTACCACTGAAACAGATCTATCTGGAACCAGAATCATACGACTGCGTACATAAATGTAATGCTTTTGCGTATGTAATTTGTGTAAAAGTACTGCTGATGAACATGGAAGACGGAGGAAGGGAAGAGGGAGGAAGAGGAGACCTGAGCCGCCGCCGAGAGCTTGATGAACGGAAATGCGACGAGAAGGTTTGGATTCTACCATGGCGATTACGGTATCTGCAACTGATTTCAGAAGAGAAAAGGAGAGTAGGGAGGGAGAAGGAAAAATACAAATAGCTGACAAGGAAACGGAGAAATTGATGTGGCATTTGATCTGGGCTGGGCTTTAAAATCGGCCCAACAACAGTTATTTGGCTCTTTATTAGTCACTGTTTCGTTTAGTTGTTAGGATTAGGAACAGTTAACAATAATAGCTGATGGAAGTCATAGAACAAGAGTAATACGAGTAATGATAAGGATGACAAAAATTTAGAATTAATAGTGTGGTTTGTATCACGTTACTTAATTAGCTAATATATATAATATTATAAATCTCAAAAAAAAAAAAATAATTAGGTTTATTGACATAAACCATATCATTAATCTCACATTTTGATCTCAAATTTTAATTTCATTTATCATTATTCATAAAACAATTATATCTATTATTTAACAATTTAAAATCAATCTATAGTCTAATATTTCCAAACACCCTAGCCAATTTAATTATAATTAACTTTTTTTTAAATTAGTATCCCGGATAGGTAAATTAGTATAAATCAACTTATTTGACTTGATGTTAACATGTAGGGTTTGAAATGCCCTATGATGGTACCTTCAGTAGGGTGAGAAATGGGGAGCATTCCCCCTGGTATAACCCACTCATGAAGCCGAAAAAGTGACATAATAAACATAAATGATTATTGCCAAGATAATGGGAGACCAAACAAAAGCTTCCTGTTCTGGGGAGCAGAAAAGAGTAAAGCAGCAGGATTATCTTGCTTCCTTTAGGATTCAGGTACAGATCAACATCATCAACCTACTTTAATTCTGGTCTTGCTTCTTCCTAAAGACCACAGCATCAGTACTAGATCTAAGAGTGGACATACTTTGCACCAACCAAAGATCACCAAGAATACTAACAGATCAGTTCAATAACTCAGCAATTTCAAAGTTTTCTTCTTCCACTTTTCCCTTTCATTTCCTCAAAAAACATTAGCTAATTACGCATACAAGTGCACATACAAAGCTGACCAACCCCACTGAACTGAATAATAGGAACCTTGGGGTTGATGCAACCTACTTCTCCTTCACAGCACATTGAATTTACATTGAAAATCAAAGTTCATGCCACTGAAATTTCATTGTGCTGCTTCCTCACCATTGTCAGACTCACCTTCATCATCTGAAGACTCTTCCCTTTGATGTTCTCCTCCCGCATTTGATTTCATCTTCTTTTCCTTCTTCCTTTGCTTTTTCTTTTGGCGTTTCAAACGCTTCTTTGCTGTGCGTTCTTCGGCAGCTTTTATTCTTTCTTCCCTCCTCAGAACAAATTCAGCCAGTTCTTTCCTTGTCTGGTAGTCAGTATCCATCCTGGCAAGCCTGTCTTGCTCTTTCCGTCTCATTTGTCGGTACTGTTGGATTAAAACAAAGTCGAGAAAAATAAATAGAAGTTTTTTACACCAGCAGGTCATAAGATTTTTCAATCCTATCATCCTCAACTAATAATAAGTTAAACAAGTCAAAATTTAGATATGAATGAAGCAAAAGAAAAGCCTATAAATTCATACCACCTAGGCCTAGAAAAAGAAAAAAGAATGAAGTTGCAAACCCCAAATGATTTAACATGCCAATTCGAATCCTTCACCACAATCTAAAGGCACTGATGAAAGTAAGAGTTGACAATCCTAGTTTCATGCTTTAGACAATTAGATGTCTCCAACCAAACCATAGATGAAGCAAATTTTCCATTCAAATCAACAAACACAAAACAAACTTCAAGGTGGAACAAAATGTCAAACTGAACTGAAGGAGCAATATGCAAATTAGGTAAGATCTACAATCTCTCCACTCTACCCACATACTACACAACAGACTAAATATAGACCAATTACAACAGCAGTTATAGCACACAGGCAACATCTAGTTGCTAACAGCCACTTCTACAGAAGAACCACTGCTGTCTAAGATTCAGATTGTTCCCATGAAATCAAAGTCTTCCTCAGGAAGGAGCAACACTCCACTTCTGCCGCAAAACTAACCATGCCCATTGTCCCCAATCTGACTGTACTTCTAAATTGAACATTTATTCTAATGTAAGTTCAACTTCAGCGAAAAGAACCTGGGAAAAGTTAAAGCTCGAACACCCCAACCTCTCCAGCTACTTCAATACCTTAAACCTTACAGGTTGACTACCCTGATTGTCATCAAGACATCTTTGTATTTCTTTCACTTTTTTGCTTAAATATTCTCCTTATTAATGCTATTAAACAATAAAAAGAAAAATTCTTATCTTGCAATTGAAGTTGTTGAAACACAAAGGCAACAAACAATAGATTATTAACTACCATAACAGAATTCTAGTTATTCTCTTTAATTCAGAAAAAGGTGCTAAAATACCTGGTGGAAGTCACCGGAGCCGGAACCAGCAGAACTGCCAGAGGTGTTGCTAACGCGGACTGGAACATTCTCGATGATGCGGCGGAGTTTGACCTCCAGGTCCTCCTCTTCCTCCTTGAACACCGGTTTCTCATACTCCACAATCGCCGTCGATCCCGCTGCAGGAGGACGCGGCGGTAGTCCCGGTTTCTGCTCCGCCAACGCCAACTGCGTGTTGGCGTCCTT